TGGAACGCAATTGTCGCAACATTCCTCCCAACTGAATCATGACAACATCAAGAGATCCCTTGTCTGGAACAAACTGTGGAAACAACAGAGAGAATGTACAAACCTCCAAACACTGTGACAACTAAATTTTTATTTTAGCAGTTCATGACAGAATTGTGAACAGCATACTAATGCGGTGAGGTGAACTAATAATGAGATGCAAATATAAGGAATTAAGATTGTATTCACTTTTTAATGAGATTCAGAACTCGCTTTGGAAAATTTAAAGGGAAACGTGGAATCTGTTTTGAGAATCAGATTTTTTTTATTTTCCCATGTTTCTCAGCATTTCCCCCGTCACTCAAGGGTCCGGAAAATTTCATCCCCCATCTACCCAACCCTTTAAACACGATCTGTTCCACAACTGACTGAGTCTGCAGATTCCCCATTGAACTTATCAACCATTTCAGAACCCAGTGAACTGGAATGGAAGTCAGTCATCCTTAACCCCAAGGAACTGCCCAAGATGAAGAAGAACTCTGTATTCTGCCAATGGAAATTCTTCTGCCAATGGAAGTTGGCAGCTTCCATTCAAGCACTTCAGGATTGAAGTTGAATGTTTAGACAGGCCACTAATTAAAGCAAAACTAGATTATTTTCTAAAGTCTAAGTAAAATAGTTAGTTGAACTGCTTGATAATCTCACGGGGAAATGGATCAAAAAATGCAGCACCATACAAATCAATCGGTACTAAACACAACCTTCAGGCAATGCTGATAGCTGACTTCAGTCAACTCAGTTGTAGAGTTGAACTGAATTGAATTACCTTTATTGTCACATGTACTCAAATGAGTACGGTGAAAAGTTTACAAGTCTCAACTTACGGCACCATAGACCTAGGTACGTGGGGTTTGGAAATCTCGCTTGGATCCTGAATGCTAACCAGAGTCCCTTCTTGGAAAGTTCATATCTATCTATATTGGGTAAGAACATTAGCTCATTGTACAAAAATGCCTTAAGACATTGTAAAAGTTTCTTTTTGATAAAGCCATCTAGAATAAATGATCGTTTTGGAGCAATCAAAACCATTTGGCAAATTATGCTAAATGAAGGAGTTATCAGTTTTTGTTAACTGTTTATGCCCAGCCAGATCACATGGTGTTGCAAGCTTTAAGAAATCTGGTGAAATTTATTCTTTTCTAATAATTAATGTTTGTCAGGTCAGGTGTGGGGATGAGGGCAATCGTTGAAATTTACATTTAGAAACGCAGCAAATGAATCTTGATGTACAGTCATCGGTTACTTGCAGGATGATTAAAGGTGGTTTGAGATTCAGCATTATTTTAAATGTAGCACTATTATGATAAAGTTTTTTTACAGGGCAATGCTTTAACATGAATTATCATCAACACAACATACACTTTATGTGATTTCAGAATGCAGATGTCACTAAATATCCTCAAGAGACGATGAATCAATATCATGTTGACATTAGCATTACACAACATTAAAATCAGCCAGTCCAGACATTTTTACAGCTTAACTACACCAAACCATTTACAATGTTAATACTACCCTGAAGATAGTTCACCTTTATGTCCACAGACTGCTCTAGAATATTTAGTTCTTTTATGGGTACACCACAAATCAATGACAACTGGCAGCTTGAATTATGTTACTTGCCTTATCAAGTCTACCAGGTGACTCACTCTTGACAGAACAGCAATCTTCACTTTCCAATTTTTTTTCATTTTAGTGGGATTTTGACAATGTTAGAAACAATTAAAGTTAATTTCACAAATGGAAAACAACTTACTCGCTTCAAGGTCCTCCCATGTACTAGATGATGTGTGACAAAGAACACATTATCTTAAATCACAGCAGGCTTTTTAACAAGATCACTTCCTATAGGCTTCCTGTGAAGAAAGTAGCTTCCTTAAGGAAATGAATGAATGATTACTTAGCCATGCCTGAGTACATTCATATTTTTATGGTAAGAATATTGATCATTAGGTAAAAATGTCAGCTGCTAGATGAAGTGTGTTTCATAGTAAGTACAACATGAAGTAATTAACCCTCTCCCTTAGAGCTCTGTTTTCTGATTGCTTGGCACAGCAGCCGTTCAGAATGGTGGGGGGTTAGAGGTTAAAACTGTGAAAATAAACAGTCTGGACCCATTTTCCAAGTGTTGCTTGATTGTCATAAAGTGATCTTACCCAAAATAAAAAGACAAAGTCATCATATTAGTACCTGATGAAATTTACATCCTCCTTTTTGCACTGCATGTTATCTTGCACAGCGCTGGATAGTTTTTGCAAGAGAAGGCAATGATAGTAAGATCAAACAGGCTGAATTAAATAAATGAAAAAAGAAGTCAGTACTAACTGTGGATTACTATATAAATACAAAGCACAAATAAAACAGGGATAGACCTAGCTGTGCATAACGTATTACTTTTAAATTCTACCTTCATCAGAATAATGTTATGCACACATCTTCAATAAAATGGTGGTGATAAGTGCAAATTATTTTGCAAAACTATTTTGCAAAGGTAGGATTCTGCACATATTTACTCTCACAGACAAGGAGAATGTAGCCACATCAAGGCCATTCTACACCTCTTCATGAATATTTGAATGTTAATATAAGCCACAGTCGTACATGAAGTGAAAATGTCAAAACTGCTCCTGGACACAAATTGGGTGAACATTTTCTTTATAATTTCTGAAAACAATCAAGAGAGAAAAGCAGGGCTCTTAGTGTATCTTTTTCCTGCTGAATAGCACAAATACATTTTTTTCACAACAGAAATATAGGCAGAACATATTCTTGCCTAATAGCATATAATTATTAAAGGAAATTTAATTGAAAATTGTTGCACAGTGCAAATTCTGAATTTTTTTAATATTTCCAGCTTGCAAGCACACGTGGCATGAATAAAGCATTTATCCTTGTTATTATTTCAGATCAAATCACGTATGTGGCTTAAATTCTAGGGGACTTTCTGAAAACATTCCTGTGTGACCACTATAGCAACTGAAGCAAAACACATACATAGGTTTCCTGCAGCTGCCAAAACCATCAATTACATTGGCTACTTCCTTTGAAAATACTTGGCACTTGCTCCTTGAAACACTGGAGTAGTCCAAATACTAAAGCAGAATAGCTCTGTCAAACCCGGCTCAACTTGAACTTAGTAGAGGGAGTTTTTTTTTAAACGATGCTGCATATTTGAGCCAAGAGCTCCACTCATTTCGTTAAAACAAAATTTGATGGTTTGCCAGAGTAAAATATCTTTACTATTAGTAATAGAGAATTGTATTTATCCAAGGTCAGCATGTTATAATAAAAACCTGGATCTCCAGTACACTGCTCCACAGCACTGTGTGCTGGCACCAAGACTTCCACAATTCCCTGCAGAGCTAGTTCCTGATCGCAAGCGTGAGGAGTTGCTGAATTGAGGCCGAATATTTCTCTGCACAGAATAACAGAACACCCAAGCTGCTCTCACCCATCTTCTACTAGCTGACTATACAGTGGGATTGGCAGTAATCTGAGGGCTAATCTTCTATGGCAATTCTAAAATTTTCAAGTTAACTAAAAAGTCGTACATCAAACCTTTCATGAAGATAAACAAATTAAGGAATTCTTATTCCACTGTAAATTTCAGCTGAGCTCAAGAATACAGCGTTTATAAACTGGACTTTGATCTACAATTATGTTTTGCAAATCACTTTAGGCATTAAATGTAGTTTTACATCATTCTTCCTGTTTCTATAACTGTTTTACAATTCCAGTTCATTCATGCGACAAGTTTTAATATTCCTGCAAAGCTGGTTCACCTCTTCATTACGTTAAATTTGTGAGGGGTTATTAGGTGTGTAGGTTTGAACCCATTCCAAAGTTAAGCAATATGCAATTCTCTCCTTGGCAGAGTCTCAGTTCCATTTAGACTCATACAGTTATACAGCACGGAAACAGACCCTTCGGTCCAACTCATCCATGCTGACCAGATGTTCTAAACTGATCTATTCCCATTTGCCAGCATTTGGCCCTAGTCCCTCTGAACCCTTCCTATTTATGTACTCATCCAGATGCCTTTTAAATATTGTAATTGTACCAGCCTCCACCACTTCCTCTGGCTCCTCATTCCATACCATCCTCGGTATGAAAAAGTTGCTCCCCATGTCACTTTTAAATTTTTCCCCTCTAAAATTAAACCTTTGTTCTAGCATCAGGTCATAAGCGTCACTGATTCCAGAATCAGGCTTCAATTGCATTACAACTGCCGTACACCGAAACCCAGCTCTATGTGTGCAACGTCAATTGCATCATCTAAATACAACATTGCTGTTCAAACCACAAATCAAAGGAGTGCACAACAATACAAAAGATGGTTGCATATGGTAGCCATTTGCTTTTTGATTTACTGAAGCTTGTTTTGTAAATTATAAAATAAATACAAACAATTTAACAGAATCAACTTCTAGTCACTAATTCCCTTACATATACCGACTGTTTCAAAATAAAGGAGTTTCAATTGGTGACAGATCAGTTCCAAGATCTGTAATTCTACACTAAAGTATCAAATGTACAGTAGACACTGTGTGTAAAACTTCCTCACAAAACACATGAATAATGGGTAAAAGGGGCTGCAAATCTGCACGCTGCAGAAAAATTCATTAATTCTTGGGATGACAAAGAAATTGAAGCCTTTGTTAATACAAAATTAATGTAAAATCCTTAAAATCCACAGAGCGCTGCCATGCTGCCATGGCAACAGATTACATCTTGTTATTAATTACTGCTTTTCTGTAAAACCAATATATGTACAATCAATTATGACATTTTGGCTGCGATTATTTTAGAAGATTCCAATTTGTATCTCACTAGCAAGTCAAAATACAGGTTATACATTAATCAGATTCATATATGTTATCACTCATCCACTCATTGAGTTACAATAGCATTGTGACAAACCTAATTGCTCCTACCCCAAAGCAGAAAATTAGCCCACAAACCTGAAGTCAGATAACCCCGTGATGCAGAAGAAATAAAAGCAGGTGGGAAATGCTTGTGCAAACGGTAGTCCTTTTCGCTGCGGGACCTAATGCGGTCTGAGGCCCGGTCTGAAAAATCCGAGCTAGGCCAGGCCCGTCGTAAGGTTGTACTCCTTGTTTTCTTCATTTGGAGGCTACATGCGTCTAATCCTTTAGCAATGTGAATCGGGTTCCATATCTCTTGCTGTGCTCTATTCGATTAGAAATAAGCCAACGTGCTGGAAGAATTAGCAAATATTCTGGTACTGCCTCCTCCACATCGTGAACTGCAGGCTTGTTCCTATACCTTGACTGATCCAATTTTACACACATCCCACAATGCATTACACTTCATTTAAAATTGCCACTGCTTATAGTTTCCAGCTTCACATAAGAAAAAAAAGGCACATAATGTGGCTTCTCAGCCAAAGAACAGGCAGCGATTTGCAGCGTGAAAAGCCTTGGGATCTCAGACAATAGCTCAATTCAGCATAGGAGCACTTGGCTAACTGTGAGCCAGAAAACAAAAGGCCCAAACAAATTAGAAACCCAGCCTTGGGTTTTGACCCCAACAGTACACCCAGGAACTGTAGAATGCAACGTCAATCCCCTCTGTCACAAGATTAGAATAATGCTTTGATGACAGCGAAAGTGGTCTTCTGCCGACAACAAAATCCAATCAGTGGAAAAGGATGAGCAGAATACATAAATCAGAAACCAATCTCCAGTTCAAAAGCCCTGCAGCTGCTTTCACATAAAGAGGTTGTAAGCGTATGTCTGTCCGCAGCTGAGGATTAGAGTTCCTGCAGGTATCTGTGAAGCAATCTATTCCTGAGAGATACGCAAGTAACGAAGACCCAACGTCATAGCCATATTTTCTTTCACTCTTCTCAGAAATTTCTCAGAGACTGGTCTCCACTTTTCGGTGTGGACGAGAAAAGCTGGACTGCAAGTGGTTCCAAATGTTTAGCTTTCAAATTTTGTTAAGCGTAGAGTCGAGTCTGCTGTGTTGCTCTGGCTGCTGTACTGATGAATGGCTCCCTGCTTCTGAATACAGTGAACAGCTATTGAACGGCAGGAAACGAGTCAGCCACCCAGTCCCATGCTAATCAAGGAGCTGTCTTATGTCAGACGCACTGATTCCGTCAAGCTTCGCAGTTTTAATGTACAACCCTCAGGCCCACTGCTAACCTGGCCAGATTCCAAGAGCTATAATCAGAATTAGTGTATTTACATCTAAAACTGCATATCTTAGGGTGGCCCAAAGTGCATCATAAACAGAGCCTTTTGATGCTAAAGTACTGCTGGTAGTGTGTCTTTCTAATCAACATTTATTTGTTAAAAAACAGTCTGCCAAGACATGGAAGGCAGGTCAGCTCATGCAACAGCTGTAATAGACTTCTGACACTAGAAAGTTATTAAATTCATCTGTAATAGCAGTTGAAACAGAAACAATAACTACATACTGGCTGTTAACAACTGACACAACTACCCTCAAGTTTGCAATATCAACAAGCTCAGTTTCGGATCAGCTGTTTTCTGGCACGTAAAATCATTCAGTGCTATAAAAGAGTGGAACACAAGGGGGAAAGCTGCAACAGATGCAACTCTATACTTGCACTGCACTGTATAGCAAAGCTCTTGTGAAAAATTAATCAATCATAGTTAGCCCGTCTACTATAACGTGAGAAATAGCTTGACACATTGATTATAATTAAGTGCTTTCCCGCAAATTTATGAGACACAAAGAGAAAGAAATCAAACAAAGACTGACCAGTAGAAAATGTCCTGGAAACAGTGATGTCTCCTATCCTCTGAGTACAAAAATAAGCAATGGAAAAGTGAACAGATTTCAAATTTGTTAGATGCACTTTGTTGAGAAAGAGAAAGAGAAATTGAGAGGGTGTGGGGGCTGGTGGTGAGAAGATTTAATATTTTTGTTGAAATTTACTCCAAGGAACAGGATGGGGAATTCTTTCCCAAAAAGGAAGGGTGTACTGGCAGGATTCCATTTGGGCTGAGAGACTATCATACATTAAACTGTGAATTTAATATTTACAAAAAAATCATATTTATTTTAAAATTCAGGACAAGTATTTTCATTCACAGCTTTCGGGCGGAATGCTTGAAACAACAAATGTTCCAACTCACCAACTGTCCTTTAACTTTATGTGTTGATATTTAATTGCAAACAGCCACAAAATCACAGCTACCTCATAGTTACAGATGAAGAATTTAAAAAGCACTTGACCAGCTCCAGATTAACTGCACCAACAGAATTAATCAGAAACTTGAATTTTCTTTATTGAAAAGATGGCAGGAAACAAGGTTTTCCCATGAAAATGTGAATCTTGTTGTGGAAATTTGGCACATCTTATTTCATGCATTGAAAAAGAATGCAGATCCCATTTTCCACTTTTTTTTGGAAATTCACTAACAAAGAATGATCACTTCACAATGGGGAGGGGATTGGGTGAGGAATGACTGCATGAACCTAAGACAATTAAAACAGACTTGGCATAAAATTCACACAGGATTTCAATGATGTTAGGGAAACTACCAAAGATAGTATTCAATTGCCAAGCCAAGACAGCTACGCCAAACAGGGCCCCAGGGGCTCTAAGTGCTTTCTGAAAATTGAGAAGAGGGTGGTCCATCTCCTCAGCTTGAAATGATCTGCACCAGCCTCCATTACTAATTCTGGCAAGATTCTTTGTAATCACAATGCTTTCTTATGACAGTACTGTATAATGCTAGAATTGACCACTTTTAAAGAAAGATGAACCATTCTCTGAATGTTGATTTGAATGTTCATAAAAATGTTTGAAATTACATCTGCAGACATGTATATGTTTACGTAACATTTGTACTGATTTTGTGATTTGGGGAAAAATTTGATGAACAGGAGCCACCTAAAACCCTCGGAGAATCAGCACAACAAGCAAGGCAAAGTCCATATGTTAATTCAGCAAATCCCAGCACAGAGTCTGAGGAACCAACTTCACCACAAGGAGCACGTACTGCCTTAACAAGAATATAATGGAAGATATGACATTGCAAGCACTTTCAAACACTTTAAGGAGCAATAGTCATAAATACACAATGCTAATGTTCAGTTTCAGATGCAAAGTGCTGAATTTTCCCATTTGTGGAGCATAGAAGATGATTAACCTTCACCCTGCATTGCTATATTGCGTTTCATCCAGGACACTGCACTCACCCAGGCTGTTGTATCCATGGGTGGAACTTGGCTGCTCCCTTGACATGCGAAATGGCAATAAATGTGAAAAACTACGAGGGAAGTGAAAAATCAGAATCTTGACATAGGGGAACATCAAGGGTTGAAGGGTTGAACGGCAATTGCATCGCGCTGATGAATGGTATTTGCATCTTATTAATAAAGCAAATTGTCTCATTTCTATGCAAATTGCAATTCTTCCCTCCATACCCTAGAAACTAGATGATGCTAATTCCCAAAATGATGTAAGGACATGAGGAGACATTTCTTCACCCAAAAAGTGGTGAGCCTGTGGAATTCATTACCACAGGAAGTAGTTGATGCCAAAATATTGAATGTATTCAAGAAGTGCCTAGATATAGCACTTGGAGCAAATGGGATCAAAGGTTATAGGGAGAAATCAGAATTTGGCTATTGAGTTGGACGATCAGCCATGGTCAGAAGAATGGTGGTGCAGGATTGAAGGGCCGAATGGCCTCCTCCTGGTCCTAACTTTTATGTTTCTATGATAGACAGAGCTGGGGGCAGCTGCTCACTACATGCTACTCTAGGCCTTCATCCAGCATAATGTCTTTGCTTGTTCCATTGACACCATCTTCCTCAACGCTTCATCCAACAAGTCAGTATCAACAAACCACCAGCCTCACCACATCATTGTACCTATTCTTGGACAACTCACACTTCACTTCAGCCCTTCAGGACTTCACTTTGGAGCTACTGCACACTTTTGTCTTGCATGCTTTTACTTGGTTGCTTTGCGTGAAGGGGCACACATTTATTTCATGCATCTATACAGGATGCATATTCTAGCTCCCAACTTCATTTCCTAGTGTTCTTTCATTTTGCATTTACTCGGATGCTGCCAGCTTCTGTGGCTGGCTTTGCTTTTTAGCATAGAGAGATAGGCAGGCAGCTTGTCACAGTTCAGAGCACTGAAAAGTCAATGGGGAGAATATGCTGCTGTACAGCACCATGCTAGATTAATGTCACACCTATAGCATGTGGCAGCAGCTCATATGGCAAAGATACTGCATGTACAGGTTAATAGCTATATGGGAAAGTCAAAGGGGACCAGTCCTTAGTGGCATCAAGGGGGACTATGATCAGTCAGGGGGCACCTCATTTGATTCTAATCCAGGGGTTTGGCCATAGACAGGGCCCTACAGGTCAAGGGCAATCAGTCCAGGGATTTCAGGCCGGTCAGTCAAGGTGTTGTGGAAACATCCATTCTCCTGCTGTGAGACAAAGAGATGGGCTGAGTATAGTGACAGTGGATGGAAGACCAGTTAGCGGTGATGCAGGAAGAAGTGGCATGTATCGACTGATTGAGTAGGAAGCACAGAGGCCAGAAGGGATTAGTAGCTTGGGAACATGAGGTTGGAGAAAGTCACTGAGTGGACACGATGCACGCAATAATCAGTTTCCTTGAGCCTTGGTGAGATGTGTGTGCAGTGGCAGAGTCAGAGTGAGTGGTGACCCTGTGAGTATGAGGTAGCAGAGAGAAAATGGAGGCACTCACTATTGTGGATCACAGAAGATCATTAACCTTCACCATTAAGGTTTTTGAGTAGATTTGTAGCTCGGACTGTGGATGTTGTGGTTGGTAGGCTCGCCGAGCTGGTTTGTTGCTCCATTGTTTCATTACCCTGCTGGGTAACGTCATCAGTGCAGCCTCCGACCATTACTCCTATGTACTCCTACGACTACTGGGCATCAGAGTAGCACACAAACCCACATCAACCCTACGCCAACTGCTAACCCAAACCAAAGACCCTGCGCTGCTATCTCAGTTCAGGCTGGCTGAGTTTGGTGGTGTGGCCTCCTTTGCCAATTAGCATGAAAAGCACCGCCTTCCTCTCCACCATCCTGTCTACCAGCATGTCCAGGTCCTTGTTGGTTGAACAAAGATGCTAAGTTGCCTATCTGGACCATTTCATTTGGGATAATGATGCAGGACCACATTGTGACGGGCAGTTCCTGGCCTACATTGGTGTGCAGCTAGTGTTTATATATGTAGCACCAGCAGCAGTGAGCACTTCCATGTCTCCTGCCACACAATTCCTCAGGATGGGCACCATGGAGGCCGGTTGCCCAATTAATTAGGTGAGAAAAATCACCGGGGCAATGGAGAGCTGGCTGCAAGGAATCACACTTGAAAATCAATTTTCTAAAAAAATGAGAAAATTCAGA